ATGATTTGTATAAACTTTATTCAATAACTTATATTTTTCTCCATTTGTAATTTTTTAATTTTAAGTGAAAATTAAGTATAACATTTTAGGAAAAAGAAACACTGTAATATTTAAAAGAATAAGAAGAAATTAGTTTTATTTTGAAAGAAAAATATAGAAAGAACTCTTTCTATAGAAAAAAGTCTTTATACTAACCAGAATCCGGTGACATAATACGCGGTCTCACCGGAAACATTACTTGTTACTTCGCATAACTTGAAGAATATCTACATTTAATATTGAACATTTCAGAAATATTTCGTTCATATTATTGATGTCACTAAATAAACCCTTGTATAAAATTTTATACTTCTAGATGTTATATGCTGTCCTCCATTCGCGAATTTCAAGTTCCAGAGCTTTACGCCCTGGGCTACTCAGAACGGTTCTGAAAGGAGCTGGGCGCGATAGCCTAGGATATGGGTGTCCACATGGCGCGGAACAGTTCTGAACTTTATGACTCAATTGAATGGACTGAGAGTATCGCGTTCTTGAACAGTTCAGAGCTGCACAACTGAATGAATGGAGGACAGTAATAAAATGCATTTTTGTACAACAAACTTTCATTCCCTATTCTACTCCCTATGGGTATGAATTTCATAAATTCGCTATGTCCAAATAATTAACTCATGTCTTTTAAATGATCCTTTGTGCAAATTTTTATGTGTATAATCCAGAGGTCACGAAGGTTTATATAAATTTTTACTAACTTTACCCATTTGGTTGATGAATTTCAATAATCTCTTCTAATTCTTTCTGTAGAATTTCATTCTTCTAGACCAGATAGTAAGAAATTTTCATACAACAAATTGTTCGACATAATTTTACACTCTAAGAGGATGAATTTCCTAAAATCGCTTTGCGTAGCTAATTCACTAATCACTAATGCCATTTAAACGAACCTTTGTGCTAATATTTATGTTTCTAAAGCTGGCGGTATTAACTGACCCCTAAAATATCTAAAAACTTGATATATAATCTAACTAACACACCACTGACAATGACAAATAAATAATTTATTTCTGGAGGTATTTTGTATAGGTGTTTTTCAGGTATATTTTAGTATTCAGTCGTTTTACACAAAGAAATAGCCTATACTATATATACAATAAACAATATAAAAATACTTCATAACAAATCTATACATACATACTTTTCATTTAAAAAAAGAATCAAGATTGGTGAAGCGGTTTCGGCGGGATGGATATAACAAAAAAACCTTTGAGCTTTTATATGTATGGATATGGATTATGTATGTAAGAAAATCCGAAAATTTAAAAACCGTTTTCATCCCCAGTATATGAATTTAGGACACACTTTGTATATCAAAAATAAAACTTTTAATTAGACCCGTCTGAAATAAATAATCTTAATAATTCTAGAAGTTATCAAAGTCAAAGTATTTCAAAGAAGTTCAATTTTCGCCCCAAAATGATTTTGAAATCTTGCTTTTTAAAACTTTTTTTCAAATTTTTCTAACCACTTCAATTGACTGAAACTAATTATGTATGTTTGTATAGAGGGTTTATGGCGCTCTTCTGTGGCGGTTTTATATTTCTTAATAATTATATATAAGGTGTTTTAGAACTCAAACCAAAGTCGAGATTTTGCAAAATCTGAAAAAAGAAAATCTCTCGAAAATAATAAATAGTGAAATGACATTTACCCTCTATGGATAGAACCCTACCTATGGTCCCATATAAACTGTATTACTAAAATAAATAGCTTTGACATATAAAGTTTTTAATTTTAGCAAACTTTCATTCCCTATTCTACCCTATTCCCAATTCATACCCTTAGTATGAATTTCATAAATCCCTATGTCCAAATAATTAACTCATATTTTTTAAATGATCCTTGTGCAAATTTTTATGTGTATAATCGAGATGTCACGAAGGTTTATATAATTTTTTACTAACTTTACCCATTTGATTGATGAATTTCAAAAATCTCTTCTTATTCTTCTTTCTGTAGAATTTCATTCTTCTAGACCAGATGGTAAATGATTTTCATATAACAAATCGTTCGACATAATTTTACACTCTAAGAGGATGAATTTTCTAAAATCGCTTTGCATAACTAATTCACTAATCACTAATGTCCTTTAAACGAACCTTTGTGCTAATATTGATGTATCTAAAGCTGATGGTATGAACTGACCCCTAAAATATCTAAAAACTTGATGTATAATCTTACTGACACACCACTGACAATGACAAATAATTGATTTCTGGAGGTATTTTGTGTAGGTGTTTTTCAGGTATCTTTTAATATTTATTCGTTTTACATAAAGAAATACCGATTAAACGATATAATAATACTTCATACAAGTCTAGACATATATACCTTTCATTTAAAAAAAGAATCATCAAGATTGGTGAGGCGGTTCCGGCGGGATGGATGTAAAAAAAACCGTTGATCTTTTATATATGCATCCCACTTCGGTGTCACAAGCTGAATTTTTCAGGGAAGGAAGTACAAGTACGTGATATGGGGACCCTTATTCCAAAAGTAGTACAAAATTAGACCGGGAAAAAGGGCATTATCATCAAAAATCGATATATTAATACCACCGTATAGAGAAAACAAATACTTATTTTTTGGTCCAGTACAAAATAAAGTCTTCGTAGGGAGTATTTTTTATAATTATTTACAAAAAAAAAATTCCATTAGCGCTTACGACCGAAAAAAACTTTAAACATGAATAACTCATTTCAATCATGCGAAAATTTGGTTTAAAAATAGATTTTTTTTAATATAACTTTCATTTAACGAAAAACGAAGGCCTAAATGAAAAAAAGAAACAATTTAAAAGTTTCGCTTATGTCTTGACAAGGTAACAAAGCAAACCCCATATTTTTTGCTTTTAAACTAATAAAGATATATCAATAAACAATTAGCGATGTAATGGTTTCTGCGCGCGCTGGCCGACTGCCGCCGCTGCGTCGAGATTTCCTATACCCTTGTATATATGACGTCATGGTGTGGCAAATGTAGCATTTTAATTCGATTTGGGCTCCTTTATATAGGATAACAGAAACATTTTCAATGTTAATAATAATAAACAACGCTTTATTGTGCAAAAAGCCAAAATAGCTTCATCGACAAAGCATTTACACAACAAACAAAAGCACAAAAAACATACAAATAATAAAAAATACACAATACAAATCATACAATTCAAAAAAAAATTAAGTCATCAAAATTACAAATAGAACATATATGGACAATTATTTCAGAACACAAAAAAAGGCGTATCAATAAAATTTTACAATAGGAAGATTGTAAATAGATATAATCTTAAGAGTTATAAAATATTAAATACGTGACCTTTGACCAGTGTGTGAGATGATCAAAATTTTAAAATTCAAAATTGTTCATGATTAAACATCAACAAAAAAGTCGTTCACCGCATATAGTACTCTCTCCAGTAAGTATGATTTCAGAGCTTTGCGAAAGGCGGAAAAGAATGAAAGCGTCTTGATATTCAAAGGCAGATGATTGTACATTTTTTGGCATTGTACAGTATTGAACTTTTAACTAGTTCTGAGCTCGCGGTTGACAGATAAAGATCGTGCTCCGCATTCCTGAGTGGATAGTTATAGCAGATTATATGTGCTTGCAAATTAAGCAAACGGATTCAAAAACGAATAAAGAAGGAAGAGTATTTTGAAATTTTTAAAGAAATCCTGGCACTGAGTTCTACTGTTCAGTCCCCTTTTGCAAGGAAGAAAGAGTATTTGTTTTTATTAGTTATACACTCACCGGCACAAAAAACACCTTAAAATTTTCATGTATTTTAAAGTTTTTTTAAAGTTTTATATATTGTGTTCTAGTGGACTAATTTTGATAACTTTTAAACAATTTGAAGCTATATTATTTGACCTTTTACTGTCTTTTTCTAAATTAAAAATGAAAGTTGCCATCTGTCATAAAACAAAATGTTGACATTTTGGTGAAAGTTTGTAACCCACACTAACTTACCACATATCAAGTTGAATAAAAAACTGTAATAAATTTTATTGATCTACTTAGACATAAAAAAAGCAAATTTATCTCACCAAGAAGCGTTTAAATTAATGATAACTAAAAGTAGCTTTGCAGTAATTAGGTAAGTAGTTTATTAGTAGCTACTATGGAGTGTAGAGGTAAGGAGAAACAACTCTTACGGGACTTTTATTGAAAAAGTGGTCACAAAATGGAAAGAATAAGGGTTCGCCAAATGACCACAGTGGTGCTAAAAACGCATGAATCTAAAAAATGAAAAGTAATCATAGATTAGAGAATAAAAATAAATATAACCAAACATTACCCAAAAAAAGTTTTCTTTTTATTTTTTTGACAGAGTTTTTGAATATAAAATAATTATTGTTTATCAATATTTTGTGCTTTATTTATTATTTAACAATGGTTAAAGTGTGTGTGGTGCGAAGCTGATTGAATAGCTGATGGAAAAATAAAGAGCAAAGGCAAAGCCTACGGTATGTAAAATACATAATATAATTCAGTATTGTATCTGCTGCAAGTGCTGTATTTTAATAATCTATCAAAAATCAAAATCATCAGGATAATATTAGGTATTGATTTTCGATATTGCTTTGAAATCTATAGATAAGGTATGCCAGTTTCATTTTAAAGAACAAGATTTGTGATAAAATTGTCATCAGAAATACTGTCCACTTCAGTATTTACATAGGAAAATATTGGAGGATGAAGCTCTACCTACTGCCTCAGGTTAATTTAAATTCTGAATTGCAACAACAGCAACAAGCAAGAAGGGCATCATTAAATGAATATTATACACATAAGTACCGTATGATCGAGAAAAAACGGCGTCAGCGATGGTTATGAAATGAAGATCGCCGTCATTTTATATGTAAAATTATATGGGGAATGTCATCGATGTTCATTTCCAAGCCAACTGGACGCCGTTTTTTTTCGATCATACGGTATTATTATACACAGAAAGAGAAATGTTATACACATAAATATTAACATTTTGTAGAGCAACAACAGAATAAAAAACCAAAATATGAACACCAGCAACTAAAACAGGAACCATTAAATGAATATTATACACGTAAGTACAATTTGATCGAATAAAAAACGGCGTCAGCAATGCCTATGAAATGAAGATTGCTGTCATTTTATATGTAAAATGATATGGAGAATGTCATCGAGATGTTCATTTCCAAGCCAACTGGACGCCGTGTTTTTTCGATCATACAGTTATTATACACATAAATAGTAATATTATACACATAAACATCCCTTGATAAAGATCAACATTTTGTAGAGCAATAACAGCATCAAATAATGGAAATAATGGACCCTATTGCTCAAATCAAAAACAAGTTTTCGATTTTTGAAACCCGCGGCTTCGCGTTTGCTTCACGTCAAATATTTATATCTTGTGTCTTGAAGTTCGGCGCATGTCTTAAATTTTAGGATCTTGCTACAGCAGCGCCATCCTAATTCTTCCCTTTTTTTGACCATTTTTTATTGCACGGAGTTATTTCTCCTTACCTCTACACTCCATAGTAGCTACCCAGACAATCAAAAATCTTCTTTTTGCTGAATGAAAGAATCTTTTTGCTGAAAATAGCCTTGATATAGACGAAAATGCACGTCGAAGCGTCAGCAATTTTTTAAATAGAAGGTTGTTTATTTCCTGGTTCTAAACCTACTCTAACGCCATTTCATTTATTCATTATTTTTAGAAAACAATATTAGGTATCAACTGTATTTAGAATAAATACTGTTAAAGAAAGAAGTAAAGATGTAGAATGTAGAATGTAGAATGTTTAAGAGGGGAGTTAATCACCGCGACCTTATAGATCTATTGTGTGTTCCCCTTTCTTGAGTTATAACGAGTTATAACTCATCATACAGTCTCAGGGCTTTAAGAAAAGCCAGTATCTGAGACGGCTCCACAGAGGCCAGCTCTCCATCCTCGACATCAGACGTACCAAGGTTCATGGCACGAATGGTCGTCGTCTCGGCGCACTCAGTGATAAGGTGTTCTGGTCTTTCCCCATTTTCCCCACAAAATCTGCATTCGCCGTTGTACTCAGTTTCAGCCTACTGAGGTGTTCGTTGAGGAGACAGTGTCCTGTTATAAACCCCGTGACAATCCGAAGATTATTTTTACTTAAATCAAGGAAAACCTTTGATTTTTCTCGGTTGTAAGTTCTGAGGAACTTTTTCGAGTGTCTTAGACCGTTGGAGGACACCCATTCTAAGTTATGGATGGAGTCTTCCAGATTCTTCAGTTCCGCTTTCAGTTGGTTTCGGTTGGAAAACAGAACGGTTCTGGTCCAGTTAGTGAAGTGTTCGCTCCTTTTCTAGCTAGATCATTTGCTTCTTCATTGCCTTCTATCCCTTGGTGAGCAGGCACCCAGAGTAGGAGGACTTTATTTTCTTTCCTAATTTGTTGAGCTTCTCTAGGCATTCTTTGACCAACTTCGAATTGATGGTTACTGAGTTGATCGCGTTAAGTGCTGCTTGACTATCGGATAGGATGGCAATTTCCTGTTTTCGATAATTCCTATCTAAAATAAATTGTACGCATCTTTCGATATCGTAAATTTCTGCCTGAAGGATACTGGGGTAGGTGCCTATTGGTTCGGAGTATTTAGTTTTCGGGCAAAATACTCCTATCCCTGTCCCTGCTTTGGTTTTGGAAACATCAGTATACCACGTGATGGTATGGTCTTTTATATGCTGAGTAAGCGTTTCTTTTTTCCAATCCTTTTTATTACTCAATACTACAGTGAGGTGTTTCTCAAAGTTGTAAATTCTGGTATGTCATCCACTGGGAGTTGGAGAAGTGGAATTTTCTTTTTGAGGGTGTTCCAAGCCCCTGACCTGAAAATTCTCCCAGTACTGTTTCCGTCAATGACCATTCTAATCATTGTCGCATTGACATAACTACCGACGACAATATGCAGTGGGGTTAGGTCTAGAATGACCTCCATTGCTGCTGTTGGACATGTTCTCATGGCACCTGTGATGCAGATACATGCCAGTCTCTTTACTTTGCACAGGTTTTGCCTTGCTGTACGTTGCTCTAGTTTTGTATACCAAGCAACTGCTCCATAAGTAATCATGGGTCTTACTATCATGGTAATACAACCAGCGCAAAATGTTAGGGGCGCAGCCCCACCTATTTCCCCCCAGTCTTCTGCATATCAGAGAGTCTTTGTGGCTTTGCTAGTAATGTTCTTAATATGCCTGTTCCAGAGAAGTTTACTATCCAGGGTTATTCCCAGATATTTCACTTCCAGCGATGGCAGTATTTCCTTTCCATCTAGATACATTCTTTTCAAGTTTTTCAAACTTCGCTTTCTGGTGAATGGCACTACTGCTGTTTTATCTGAGTTAATACTCAGCCCGACAGTCCTGCACCATCTCTCAGCGATGCGGAGTCCTCTTTGGATAATATCACACAGGGTGCCTTCATGTTTCCCCCGTGCAATGATGACTATGTCATCTGCATACCATATGCAGTGTATTCCCGCTAGAGTTAATTCTTCCATTAGTTCATCCACTACCAAGCTCCACAGTAGGGGGGAGGTCACTCCACCTTGTGGAGTTCCTTGCGTTGTTTTAACAACTACAGTTTTGGTACAACTGCTGTTCGTGTTGAGAGCATTTCCCAAAACCAGCGAATTATCGTACTGTTCACCCCTCTTGTTTCAAGAGATCGCTTGACCACGTTGTGAGGTATATTGTCAAATGTACCTCACTGCAATGTCCAAGAAGGCACAAAGTGCTGTTTCTTTGCTATCCAGGCTTGCCTGTCTTAGCTCAGTTAACTGGTACAGAGTAGTTTCTGTGGATCTACCCGCTCTATATGCATGCTGACTATCGTGCAGTGGTTTAACCTGTAGATGATTTACTCTAATATGGTTGTCCACTACTTTCTCCATCGTTTTTAATATGAACGATGTGAGACTAATAGGCCTAAATGATTTGGGGTTAGCCCAGTCAGTTTTGCCTATTTTGGGTATGAAGTTGACTTTCGCTCTTCTCCAGATGGTTGGTAATATCCCATCGCTAAGCTGCTTCTTGTAATGTTTAATAGATGGTGTGTAGCTATTTCCTGACCCTTCTTTAGAAGAGCAGGAAAAATCCCATCTATTCCTGCTGTTTTATAAGGCTGAAAGGTGTCAATAGCCCATTTCAGTTTTTGTTCTGTTATTACTAGCTTGGCCGTCTCCCAGTCTTCCCTGCGAGGATTGTGGGGTTCGGTCGGAGCTACTGCGTATCAATAGATATGCTACCTGGAAAGTGTGTATAAAGTAGGAGGTTAGCTCTCTCTTCACCTCCTTCCGTGTAGCTTCCGTCAGGTTTCTTAAGTGCCATGTTGGGGATGGGCCCACTCTTGGCCATAGCTTTGTGTAGCCTAGCTGCATAAGTAGTTGAAGTGATGTTTTCGCAAAAGCATCTGAAGTCAGACCGCTTTGCCCTTCTAATCTTCTTATTATACTCAGTTAATTTCTCGGCGTAGAGCTGCCATTCGCCGCTGGGTTTGGCTCTGTTGAAGAGTCGTCGAACCTCCGATCTAAGATTGTCTAGCTTTTTGTTCCACCAGGGATTGTTGTTACTTTTTTGTATGCCCTTACTTGTGGGGCAACTAGATTCATATGCATCCAATATTGCACCACTGACTTCCTTTGCGTACCATTCTAGATACAGGTGGTTCCTAGCCCTACCTGCATCTATTTGGTCCAGGTTGTCTACGAGCTTGGTGTGGTATAGTTCCCAATCGGTTTTTCTTGGATTCCCCCTTCGAATTTCGTTTGGAGTATGATTCCTCCTAATTTGAACTCGATGATTCTGTGATCTGATAGGGAAGGTTCCGTTGAAACCCTCCAATCTTTCACGTAACTAGTTACACTAGCACTCCCGATTGTTAAATTTAATACTTCCGCCCGCGTTTTTGTCACAAACGTGGGGGTGTTCCCTATATTGAGAACTTCAACATTGTATGCTAAGAGGAATTCTAGTAAACACTCACCTCTAGTGTTAGTATTAGTGCTTCCCCATACCTCATTGTGCGTATTGGAGTCACATCCCAATAGCAGAGGTAGTCGCCGTTGGCTGCAGAATCGCACGAGCTCCTCTATTTCCGGAGGCGGTGTCTGCCCATCACCCGGAAAGTATGCAGAGGCAATCACGATATTTTTGCTACACCCTCGATATTAAGTTGAACCATGATTGGAACAAGATCCCGGGTTGTAAATTCTGAAACACATGTGTAGTTAATGTTGTTTCTTATAAGAATACAGGCTCGGGGAAGTTCCTGCCTGTTATCATATATTACACTGGAATTTTTTCCAGACAACCCTTTAATTTGTCCCTGGTACACCCAGGGTTCCTGGGCTAGTACCATTACATATTGGTTTTTCTCAAAGAGTCTTGTGATTGTGGCAGAAGACCCTTTTGCATGGTGCAGGTTTATTTGGGATATCCCATGCATCAGGTTTCTGGGGTAGGTAAGGGTCCCCCTGTTGTAGGGAGGACAGGGTATTTCCCATCCCCCCCTGGCAACAGATGTTCCTCCTCCGTGGAGTGGTCATCAACCTCCTCCGAGGATATACACCCTTTCACGGCTGGAGTTACGCCAACCGTGTCCTTCACAGTCGAGGAGCTTGTCTCCGGCTGAGGTACTTGTGAGTTGGAGGCTGGAGTATTTGTCTCCATTTTCTCCCCCTCTTTAGCTTGTTCTTTTCTTGGACCTGATACCGGTACCGTCCCGAATCTATAATAGAGGTTATATCCTTCTTTCTCTATTGCCTCCTTGGATTTGAGGTCAATTCCTATTGTGAGGACCTGACCATGGCCCTCCTCCTTCGAGTTGAGGACTCGCCAGCTCGATGTACTCACATTCTCGTTCTGAGCTTGGATAAGGTCTAGCAGGTAGGCGGTGTCTTTCCCCTTGCTTCTTGGCAGAAAGACCGTGATGGTTGTCCCTTTAGGGATGTTTTCTCCCCTCATTGCAACCAGTCCCGGCCCCTGCCAATTTTTAAGCTTAGGTGCCGTTTCCACCAACCAATCCGCCGATTTTTCAGATGCACAATCTATGAGGATCATGCCCACCCTAAAGTGTATCCCCGCAAAGCGCAGCTGACCCACACTTTGTGGATCGTTGCGTCGCAATCCGCTCGCTACTACTTCGTCCAGTATCGCCTCTTCTAGAGCCGTTTGCTGCTCGGTAGTCAGTACAACCTCAGGATATTCCTTTGGAAGCACCGCAATTTTCACTTGTCCAGCAATAGCGGCATAGCTAGTGATACGTCCCTGCTTGCCTCTCGGTGTGGGACGGCTTTCCATCCTGGCTTTTTTC